CAAATAAAATATTAACAAAGTGATTTCAGCAACTTATCTTGAGGATAATACACTATGATCAGGCAGGATTTATACTAGGAATTCAGGGCCTTAATATTTGGGAAACTATCAGCATAATTGACCATATCAACAACAAAACTAACAGAAATGATACAATAATGTCAACAGATGCAGAAAAAGCTTTTGACAATATAATATTCCTATTAAAAATACTAGAGAGGCTAGGAATAAATTAAGTCTTCCTTAAAATGATAAGTAGCATCTATCTAAAACTATCATCAAGTGTTGTATGTAATGGGGATAAGCTAGAAGTTTTTCGAATACGATCAGGGGTGAAACAAGGATGACAATTATCAACACTATTATTCAATATTTTACTAGAAATATTAGCTTTAGCAATAAGAGAAAAAAAATTAGCATAGGCAAAGAAGAAACAAAGCTATCTTTACAGATGATATGATGGTATATTTAGAGAATCCTAGAGAATTAAGTACAAAACTAATTGAAATAATAAAGAAAATTAGTGAAGTCATAGGATATAAAATGAACCCACATAAATCATTGGCATTTATGTATGTTATTAACAAAGCTCTACAGCAAGAGATAAGAAGAAAAATTCTATTTAAAGTTATTGTATACATTATAACATATTTGGGAGTCTACCTCCCAAAACAAACCCAGGAATTATATGAACACAATTACAAAAACTTTTCACACAAATAAAGCCAGATCTAAGTAGTTGGAAAGCATCACTTGCTCATAGATAGGTTGAGCTAATATAATAAGAATGACAATTCTACCTAAATAATTTACTTATTCAGTGCCATACCAATAAAACTACTAAAAATTATTTTTATAGATCTAGAAAAAATAATAACAAAATACATGTGGAAGAACAAATGGTCCAGAATGTCAAGGAAATTAATGGAAAAAAAAGGGAAGGTAGACTAGCCATACTAGATCTTAAATTGTATTATAAATAAGCAATTTTCAAAACTGCTTGGTACTGGCTAAGAAATAGAGTGGTGGCTTGGTGGAAGGTACACAAGACACAATACTCAATAACTATAGTAATCTACTCTTATATAAACCCAAAAAGTCCAACTTCTGGGATAAACACTCACTATTTAACAAAAAATGCTAGGAAAATTGAAAAAGTATGTGTCAGAAACTAAGCATAGACAAAAATCTTACACCACATACCAAGATAAAGTCAAACTTGGTACACTATTTAGATATAAAGGCTAACATTCTAAGCAAACAGGAAGAGCAAAGAATAGTTTACCTGTAAGATTTATGGAGAAGGGAAAAAATTATGACCAAAGAAGAGATAAAGAACATTATGAAATGCAAAATGTATAATCAAAATTACATTAAATTTAAAAGTTTATACAAAAAAAAGGCAACGCAACCAAGATTAGAAAAAGAGCAGAAAGCTGGCAAACAATTTTTACAGCCAATGACTCTGATAAAGGCCTCATTTCTAAAATATATAGAGAACTGAGTCAAATTTATAAGACTACAAGTCATTCCCCAATTGATAAATGGTCAAATAATATGAACAGGCAGTTTTCAGAGAAAGAAATTAAAGCTATCTATACTCATATGAAAAAATGCTCTGAATCACTATTGATTAGAGAAATGCGAATCAAAACAACACTGAGGTACCACATTATACCTATCAGATTGGCTAATATGACAAAACAGGAAAATTATAAATGTTGGAGAAGATGCAGGAAAATCAAAACTGTAATGCATAGTTGGTAGAGTTGTGAACTTGTCCAAACATTCTGAAGAGCAATTTGGAATAATGCCCAAAGGGCTATAAAACCATGTATACCATTTGACCCAGCAATACCACTTCTAGGTCTGTATCCCAAAGAGATCATAAAAGTGAGAAAAAGACTCACATGTACAAATATATTTATAGCAGGACTTTTTGTGGTGGCCAATAATTGGACATTGAAGAGATGCCCATCAATTGGGGAATGGCTAAACAAGTTGTGGTATATGAATGTAATTGAATACTATTGTTCCATAAGAAATGATGAGCAGGCAGATTTCAGAAAAACCTGGAAAGACTTATATGAACTGATATTGATTGAAGTGAGCAGAACCAGGAGTTCATTGTACGCAATCACAGCAATATTATATGATGACTAACTTTGATAGACTTAACCTTTCTCAGCAATGCAAGGATCTAAGACAACTCCAGAAGACTCATGATGAAAAATGCTATCCACATCCAGAGAAAGATCTATAGAGTCTGAATGCAGATGGAAGCATACTATGTGCTCTCCTTTTGTTTTCTTTCTTTTTTTTTTTTTTGGTTTCTTTTGCTTCTTCTTTCTCATGGTTCCCACCAATGGTTCTAATTCTTCTTTGCAACATGACTATTGGAAAATATGTTTAATATGAATGTATGTGTAGTGCCTATACCAGATTCCATGCCATCTTAGGGATTTGGAAGGGGACAGACAGGGGGAATTTTCAACTCAAACACTTATGAAAGGGAATATTGAAAACAAAAAATTAATTAATTAATTTAAAAAATTTCTTACGTTCACTTAGGTTCTCTTCGTATGACATCCCTGTGAGTCACACATCTCTGGGTTAAGTTTATTCATTTGAAAAAATAAGAGGGTTTGATTAGATGATCATTAAATGTCTTTCTAACCATTCTGGACTCTGTAGTCACACAAGTATGGTAGGTCTAGCCTGGTCCTCCCCCAACTTCTTCTGGCCAAAAGAAATCATATTTATCCAGACAGCAATGACTTCCCAGTCACAGTGGGTTAAATGAACTCATGCAGACACTAAGCAAAGAATTCTGAAGAAGTTATTCGCATCAGATTGCACTACTGGGACCTGGCCAGGGCAGCTCAAACAAAGGCCTTTCCTGGGGCCCAGGCTCTAATCCAGGATGAATCTTTTTAAAAAGTCACTTTACACCCTGGAACCTAAATGGAAATCACAATTATCAATCATTTTAAAAACTCCTAATTTCATAGAGCTCATCACTTCCAAAGAATTCCCCTCATATCAATAAACATTGCTTAAGCAGCTACTTGGTGCTAGGCACTGTGCTAAATGCTGCTGAGCTTTAAACTTATGTTTTCTGACCTAAATTTCATTTGTTTTTCATCTACTGAGTTTATAACTGTGTGAAAGACCCTGTGAGGAATACAGAGCATAAAAATGAGCAGAGAAATAGGTACCATGTGTTTTGCACTTTCAGGTTTACAAAGAAATATCTCACTTAATCCTCACCACAACCCTGGGAGGGAGGTACTGTTATCACTCTTATTTTACAGATGAGAAAACTGAGGCAGGCAGGAGGGAAGTAACATTCCCAGGGTCACACAGCTAGTTAGTGAGTATCAGGCATAGGTGATCGATGAATAAGGAGGAGGGAAAGCTCATGATAGGAGGCAGTGATCAAGGATGGTTTCACAGAGGAGGAGGTGACCAAGCTGGGCTGTGAAGCATGGATGCATAGGATTAAGAGAGTCCAGAGAGAGAAGAAGAAAGGGAACACTTTAGGGAAGTGGACTGAATTGGGCTTAAGTGCTAAGGAAGACAGTTTAAGTATGGAGGCAGAGAAACAAACTGGAATAGTGGGGAGAGTATTGAACTTGGAGTCTGGAAGTCCAGTGTTCAAATGCTGAACCCTGTGACCCTGGGCAAGTCACTTAACCCCTTTGTGTTGTAAAATTATGGGGATGGGCTCTAGGTCCCTCCCAGGTCTAACATTATGATTTCACACAACCTGGGAAGCAGAGATTACTCCCAAGATGTAGTCTGAAGGTCATGTCTGTTGTAAGATCTTCAGGCCCAGAGACAGGGCCATGTCTTCTCACTCATACAAACAGGATACAAAAAGGTCTGGCTACATCTACTTCACTGCCCTTTTCTCTGACCTTATCTTTGCCTAACTCTCTGAGCTCTTCTCAGGAGAACAGCTCTTTGTAAACCAGGCTATCTAAACACGCGCAGGTATGTCTTTATAGTTAGACACAAGGAAGCTGGAACTTATAACCCAACTAGTCTCATTGGATATTGACCTAGAACTGGAGGCAGGAATAGGTTCACATCCACCCTCAGAAGCTTGCTGTGTAACTCAGGACAAGTCACTTCACCTTGCCAGGCTGTTTCCTCATCTGTAAAAATGAGAAGACTTCTAGCCTTAAATCTATACTATGTTTTAGCCAATCCGTATCAAAGATTTTGAATGAGATCTCTTATCTGCAGTCCTATAGTTCTTTCATGATATCTGACATTTGTAATCATCACTTTTTAGAAGACTTCTGAAGAAACTTACCAAATTAAAGCACATTGCTATCTGGGAAGCTTACTCACTTACCACTTAATTCATAAGTATGAATTAAGTAAGCTGTGGTCCCAACATAGAACAGAAGCTAATTGGAAGACATATCTCTCAGTGCTGTTGGGCATCAACCTTGTTAAAACGTGGCAGTTTAGAATAAGGCAGTTTGGGGTCTTCTACCTTTTTTGATGTTGTCTAGGGTACCTTGAGTGAGTCTACCATTCCATGTCTTAGTTTACTCATCTGTAAAATGAAAAAGATGCACCAGATAACCTCTACAATCCCTTTCAATCCCAAATTAATCACTCCCTAAGACCATGGTTCTTAACTTGGAGGTCCATGAACTCAATTTTTTATTTTGTTTTGTTCAGATTATGATGGTTGCATTTCCATATAATCTGATTCCTTTGGAATCCTGTGTGTTTTATTTGTTTTTTTGAAAACATAATGCTGAGTAGCAGTCCAAAGTCTTTACCAGCCTTCCAAACAGTTTAGGAGCCCCCAGCTCCAAGAAGGCCTGGATTCTACAACAGGCTTGGCTACTAAAGAGCTGTGCAGCCTTCGGCGGTTCTTTGCCCTCTCCAGCCCTCAGTTACTTCTGTAAAATGAAAGGGTGGGCCAGGCCCCTACCACCTTAAAGTTCCTTGGACTTACTCTTTTTCATCTTTTCCAGGGCACCATGATGCTGACTAACCTGAGTGCTTTGCACAAAGACCCCAAGAAGTGGGCTACCCCAGAAACCTTCAACCCAGAACATTTTCTGGAGAATGGTCAATTCAAGAAGAGAGAGGATTTTCTGCCTTTCTCAATAGGTGAGCCACATTCAGTAGGAAGGGGGCCCTAGGCCAGGGGGCACCAACCTTTTTAACATTAAGAAACTTTGCAAACTCTACTTCCTGAAAACTATAATCACATGATAGAGGATATGTTAATAATATTCATTGATTGGGAAAATACAATGCAACAAAATTTAAAAAAATAGACCTTTAGATAGCAATGGGGTTAAAATAAGAAGAGTCATCCTCAGGTCCAGTTTTGCCTGATGGTTTTCCAGATCCTTTGCAAGGACCCCAGAATCCCCCCAGGCCTAGCCACCACCCACAAACTCTAGTACTCACTCCCTGGGCCTCCTTGGGTCACCTTACTTAAATATCCTGGGCCTCAGTTCCCTCATCCATCATGTAGGAGGACAAGACTAGATGAGCAATAAGCTTCCTTCCAGCCCTGAAGCCATGAACCAAGAATCCCAGGAATCCCAAGAATCCAGGGGATCTACATTTTAATTGTGCCTCTTCTTACTTGTTTGATTTGGAGGGACTCAGACCCTCTCTGGGCATGTTCTTTTATCTCTAAAAAGTGAGGGGGTTGGAGTACAAGGCATGGAAAGTCCTCTCCACCCTCGAATCTGTGATATTCTGATCCTAAGTAATCACAAAGGAGTTTCAGCGAGGAGAAAGCCTGTGAACTGAGCCTTGAAGGAAGTTGGGGGTTCTAGTGTGCAGGAGGAGGAGAAGGTGCCGACTAAACTAGGGAACCAGTCTGTGCAAAGGGGAAGAAGGGGGACCAACAATATCTTATCAAGGTGGGCAGCCCCTTTCATTCTTCTTGCAGTCAGCATGCTTACTTGTGGAGCATGTCATTTGGGGCAGTCCTTCCTTCAGGGGCTGTACTAGATAATTCCCAAGGCATCAAATCCTATTAGTTTCCTTCACTTACAAACTTACATTAATAATAATTTATTTTTTAAATTATAAAATGTTAAAATCATTTAAAATTAATAACTTGAAATTTAATGTATTATCTATAAATTTTATTTATTATTAATAAAATTTTAGATTTAATGGATTTGCATTTTTAAAAAATTATATATATTTAAATTTTATTAAAATTGTATGTGTAATTTATATAGTGCTTTACAGTTTCTAAAGTATTATCATTAATATGGGACCAACTTCCTATCATCTCTCACCCGGACCACTGTAAGAGGTTCATAAGTGATCTCCTTGCTTCAAGTCACTCCCCAAACTAATCCCTCTTCCACCCAGCTGCCACAATGATTTTCATAAAGTGAAGGTCTGACCATACTATCCTCTGCCCTCACCCCTACTCAGTGAGCTCTGATGGCTCCCTACTGCTTCTAGGATCAAATATAAACTGTCCTGAGGTTGAATGCTCTTCATAACCTGGCCTCATCTTGCTTTTTCCCTCCACCATCTACTTCTCCTGGCCTGGGTGCTATTCTGCCCACACCACTCTTATCTCTTGACTCCATGCCGAGGCACTGGCTGGACCCCAGGCCTGGAATGTTCTCCCTTCTCACTTCCATTCATGGGGATCTCTGGCTTCTTTCAAGATCCATGTCTTCTATAGGAGACACTTCTTTGTCCTTTTACTCTCTGTGTACCTTTTATGTTCTCATTTGATCACGGTATCCTCTTTCTTATTAGAATGTAAGCTCCTAGAGGGCCAGAATCATTTTTCTTCTTCTTTTTATCTCCAACAGTTAGCTCAGTGCCTGGCATATAGTAAGTGCTTAATAGACCTCTAGGCAACTACGCAGTACAATGGATACAGTCCTGAGTTTGGAGTCAGGGAGACAGGAATTCAGATTTGGCCTCTGACACTTCTTAGCTGGGTGAGACATTTAACTGCTATTTGTTTCTATTTCCTCATCTGTAAAATGAGGATAATGGCAGTACCTAGCTCCCAAATTTGTTTTGAGGATTAAATCAGATGATATTTTTAAAGTGCTTTGGTAACCTTAAAGAGCTTAATAAGTATTATTATTATTATTATTATTATTATTATTATTATTATTATTATTGAGGGTTTGTTTAATGAACTAATTATTTAATGCCTCACTCAGCTGTGGTATCGCTTGAAAGAAATGTTGAGTACTTTGTAAGCCTGCAATCACAACAGATGTCATCTCTTGTTATTCTGGAAGATCTTGTGTCTATTATTAAAATTGGGAGAGGAGGAAATGATCATGTAAGTTAACTTCTCTTGAGACTCAGTTTCCATATATGTAAGTTGGAAGAGCTGGACTAGAAGGCTTTCTGAGGTCCCTTTGATCTCTCAGTCTCTGGTTCTCTGATTCTCCTGGCTCCAAGGCCTGCCCTCTGTCCATTTGGACATGAGTCTACATCATCTTTTTTCTCCCTTGTGCCAAAAGGAAGGTGGAGGGAGGGGAGCTTCTTGCCTAAAATTTCTCAGAGAAATATCAACAGACTAAGGGCTGGAACCTCAGGGATGTTGAAAAGTCAGGATCGTTCAGTCAACCCTTTGGTTGTTTCCATGATACCAGACAAATGGTTTGGCCAGCTCTTGTCATGGCACTGAGGGAGCTGGCACACAGACTCAGTCTCTTGATTGTCTGATTGGCATTTTTTTCCCATCAGAAGAACATGAGCTTCCTGACAGTGACTACCTAGAAAAAGGAGTGAGGACAGCTCCTTCATGCATTGGAAAAGGTGACCAAGCGTGCATGTAGCATTGAAACATGATCAAGGCTGGTTACAGAGCTAATAGGATCTGTTCAGTTCTGTCTCCTTCTTCCTAAGCTTTCTCCTTCAGGAGAGTCTATAGCTTCAAGTAAAGGTGGTTCTGAGTTAAAGTACCCTCTGCCCATCATCATCGTTCCTCCTTGATAGGACCTGCCAGAGACAGGTGGGCACTTTCTCTGTTTCCCCAAGTCTTTTTTTATAAATAAATTTATTTTTAGTTTTCAACATTCACTTCCATAAGTTTTGGAGTTTCAAATTTTCACCCCATCTCCCCCCTCCTCCCACCCCAAGATGGCATGCATTCTGAATATTCCTTCCCCTAGTCTGTCCTCTCTTCTATCTCTCCCCACTTCTCTTATCCCCTTCCCCCTCTATTTTCCTGTAGGGCAGGATAGACGTCTATACCCCATCTCCTCCATTTCTTATTTACCAGTAGCATGTGAAAACATTTTTTAACCATATGTTTTTAAAAGTCTAGGTTTCAAATTTTCTCTCTTCCTCCCTCCCCACCCCCCCTCATTGAAAAAGCAAACAATCAATATAGGTCATACATGTGCATTATGCAAAACACTTACATAGTAGACATGTGAAAAACTAACTCTATTTCCCTTAATCCTATCCTGCTTTCCCATTTCTTATATTCTTTCTTTTGACCCTGTCCCTCCTCAGAAGTATTTACTTCTGATTACCCCTTTCCCAATCTCCTCCTCTCTATCATCCCCCTGCTCTCTTGTCCCCTTCTCCCCCTATTTTCCTGTAGGGTAAGACAGATTTCCATACCCAATTGAATGTGTATGTTATTCCCTCCTTAAGCCAAATCCTATGAGAATAAGATTCACTCATTCCCTCTCACCTTCCCCTGTTTCCCCTCCACTGTAAGAGACTTTTCTTTTCTGTTTTTTTTTTGTGAGATAATTTACCCCATTCTACCTCTCCCTTTCTTCTTCTCTGAGTATCATCCTCTCTCATCCCTTAATTTTATTCTCCAGATATGACCCCTTAATCTTCAACTCACCCTGTGCCCTCTATCTATCTATCTATCTATCTATCTATCTATCTATCTATCTATCTATCTATCTATACATACATACATAATTTTTTTCCTTCAACTACCCTAATACTGACAAAGGTCTCATGAGTTAAATATCATCTTTCCATGCAGGAATGTAAACAGTTCAATCTTAATAAGTCTCTTATGATTTCTCTTTCCTGTTTACCTCTTCATGTTCCACTTGAGTCCTGTATTTGAAAGTCAAATTTTCTATTCAGCTCTGGTCTTTTCATCAGGAATGCTTGAAAGTCCTCTATTTCACTGAATGACCATTTTTTCCCCTGAAGGATTATACTCAGTTTTGCTGGGTAGGTGATTCTTGGTTGTAATCCTATCTCCTTTGCCCTCCAGAATGTTATATTCCATGCCCTGCGTCCTTTAATGTAGAAGCTGCTAAATCTTGTGTTATCCTGATTGTGTTTCCACAGTACTTGAATTGTTTCCTTCTGGCAGCTTGTAATATTTTCTCCTTGACCTGGGAACTCTGGAATTTGGCTACAATATTCCTAGGAGTTTTCCTTTGGGGATCTCTTTCAGGAGGAGATCTGTGGATTCTTTCAATTTCTATTTTGCCCTCTGGTTCTAATATATCAGGGCAGTTTTCCTTGATAATTTCTTGAAAGATGATGTCTAGGCTCTTTTTTTGATCATGGCTTTCAGATAGTCCAATAATTTTTAAATTCTCTCTCCTGGATCTATTTTCCAGGTCAGTTGTTTTTCCAATGAGATATTTCACATTGTTTTCTAATTTTTCATTCTTTTGGATTTGTTTTACAGTGTCTTGATTTCTCATAAAGTCACTAGCTTCCAATTGCTCTATTCTAATTTTTAAGGAAGTATTTTCTTCAGTAATCTTTTGGACTTCCTTTTCCATTTGGCCAATTTTTCTTTTTAGGGCATTTTCTCCTCATTGGCTTTTTGGACCTCTTTTGCCATTTGGGTTAGGCTATTTTTTAAGTTGTTATTTTCTTCAGTATTTTTTTGGGTCTCCTTTAGCAAGCTGTTGACTTGTTTTTCATGATTTTCTTGCATCACTCTCATTTCTCTTCCCAGTTTTTCCTCTACTTCCCTTACTTGCTTCTCAAAATCCCTTTTGAGCTCTTCCGAGGCCTGAGACTGATTCATATTTTTCTTGGAGACTTTGGATGTAGGAGCTTTGACTTTGTTGTCTTCTTCTGGTTGTATATTTTGATCTTCTTTTTCACCAAAGTAAGATAATATAGTCTGACTCTTTTTGCACTGCTTGCTCATGATCCCAGCCAATTACTTGAGTTTTAAACTCTTTGTTAAGGTATGAGTCTGCTTCCAATGTGGCGAGTGTATTGTCCCAAGCTTCAGAAGTTTGTATGGCTGTTTTCAGAGATACTTGTAGGGACCGGTAAATTTTCAGTTCTTCCAAGGTGGTATGATATGGGGTGAGGTGTTTACTCCTTTCCTTGCCTGTTAACACAAGTACTCCTTTCTTTCCTGTAACTGTGAGGAGGGGTTTCTCTCCACAGCCACTACAAGCTCCTCCATGCCAGCACTTCTCCTCACCCCAGCACCACTGCCCAGAACTGTGACCCAGATCCAAACACAGGCAAAGGAAGAGATTCCTGCCTCAGCATTGGCAAAGAGATCCCTGCAATCCCTCTCTGATCAGCCCCTGGGTTCCCCCTTAGTCTGTGGGCCAGAAGCTGCGGAAGCAGCTGCCCCCTGCCCCAGGACCACAGTCTTGGGGAATGGAGCTGAAACCCTGCCTTCCTCTCTGAGCACCACAGAAACAGACTTTTCCCACTGACCTTCTAAGTTGTCTTTGGCATTCATGGATTGAGGAGTCTGGAAACCACCACAGCTGCCAGCGATTCAGTCCTCTGAGGCCTGCTCCAGGTTTGCTGCAGCCTGCGTGCCACTGTGCTCCCAGCCCAGCGCAATACACCTTTCTGATCAATCATCCAGGTTGTCTTGGGCTGGAAATTTGTTTCACACTGTCTTTTTGTGGGTTCTGCTGCTTCAGAATTTGTTTAGAGCCATTTTTTATGAGTATTTGGAGGGGTTTGGGGGAGAGCTCAAGCAAGTCATTGCTTTCACTCTGCCATCTTGGCTCCGCCCCCCGAAGTCAATCTCCCCAAGTCTTACAGAGCTGCTTTGAGTTCTGAGAGCCTGTGATTTGCCCAATATTGCACAGCTAGTGATTATCAGAGGAAAACCCAAGCTGGATTTTCTGAATTCAGGATGAGCAGTTTTTGTTTTTGTTTTTTCCCATGATGTTGATAAAAGCAGATCAATACTGTAAGGCTGACAAAGGCAGGACAGCCTTCCCAACACCCCAGTGAGGCACATACTAGTATTGTTTGCATTTGACAGATAATAATACAAGGAGGAGCAGTAATAATAATAATTAGCCTTTATATAGTCCTTTAAGGTTGGCAAATACATTTACATCTTTACCTTGTGATGTAGGTGTGATTATTAACTCCATTTTACACATGAGGAAACTGAGGCTGAGAACAGTTAGGTGACATGCCCAGGGCCACACAGCTTCTAAGTATTAGGAGTAGGACTTGAACTGAGGGCTTCCTGACTCCATGTCCAACACTCTCTCCACTGAGACTGCTTGGCTTAAATTCAGAGAAGGGATCTGTTTTTGTTAAGACTACACAGAAGCAGGATCTGAGATCCAGAGCTAGAAGGGCCCTTGGGGGCCACATCACCCAACTCCATCATTTCACAGATGAGGAATCTTGGGCCTATTCAGATTGATTGACTTATCCAATGCCAGTATGGTGAGAAGCATGCAAGGTGGGATTTGAACCCAGGTCCTCTGTTTACAGATGCATTATTTCAACTGTACTATATCTCTGAGGTTGACAGAAATATGACATGGTAGATATGGTGCCTGATACGGAGCAAGGAAGACTTGGATTCAAATTCCAACTCTGACCCTTATTAGCATAATGGTTGTGGACCCATAATTGAATAGCCCTAAGGCTCATGCCAATTCTAGGATTGAGACCCAGGCCCTTAACACCCCCTACCCTGACCTACTTCCTGTGCAGAATATTAGTGATTTATTGTTTTACTCTCCTTGCTTTTCAGGAAAGAGGGTCTGCCTAGGAGAACAGCTGGCTCGGACTGAGCTCTTCCTTTTCTTCACTTGCCTGCTCCAGAAATTCACATTCAAGGCTCCCCCAAACACCCAGCTGAACTTGGAATCCCGATATGGCATGACTGTCTCTCCTGCCTCCTACCAAATCTGTGCCATTCCTCGAGTGATGTAGGCCAAGCCAGGCCTGTAGGGTGGTCCTCCAAGTTGGGAATGGGAAGGCCTTCAAACCATTCTCATCCTCAAAGGGGTTATACATCCTGTCTTTTGGAGTTTGGGTGGGGAAGGGAGAAAAATCAAGGGGGGAGAAGAGGAGAAAGAGACAAGGGAAGGGTGTCTCATCCAATTCTAAGCTTCTGGCACTGAAAAAGGGAGGCATTAATGCCACCAAAAAGAAAGCACAAAGAGTCTTTACTGGCATTGGATTCCAAGCACTTGGATTTAAGTCCCAGCCCTGCCAGCTACTAGCTGGGTGACCTTGGAAAAGTTAAGCCTCTGCCTCAGTTTCCTCATCTAAAATGAGAAGGAGGAATATTTCTAAGGTCTCCTCCAACTCTAAATCTAAAACCTGATGATGCTATAAACAGAAGGCTAATGCTTTTCCTCCCCTACCTCAATCAGTGGGGACAAATGGGGCTTTTTGTTTGGTTGGTTACTTTTTGTTCTCCTGCTCTTATAACTCATACACCATGTGTGATTTTAGGGGAGGGTTCAGAGAGTTTAGGTGAGTTACAGGAGGCATCCACCAGTTGATGAGGATGATCACTAGAGATCCTTAGAGACTGTAAACTCCTTGTGGGGAGAGACTGTTTTCTTTATGTCTTTGGATCTACAGCATCCAGGCCAGCACCTGACTTGGAAAAGGAGCCCAATATATACTTGCTGATTGTTTTATCTCTAAGTAATTCACTTTTATGTTCATTATGTACCTTGACTTTCATAAAATTATTAACTCATCAGCCAATGAGATGGGTTCCTCATTCTGATTAAAATCCTTGTTATAGATGATAACTCATAATCACTCCACTATTAATTATAGTGACATGGGGCTAGGAATGCCTACACCTTCAGAATTTCTAGTCTCTTCAGGTTCCCCATTACTTAAGTTTCCCTGTTCTTGTTGGAGATGTTTACAGAAAGTTCATTTCCATGCTGATATTGCAAACTCTTGTTATAACCCAGCCAATCAGAAAATGTAAACACCCACATGAATCATTGTGATCAATGTTTGTCATTTATTATTTATGTTCTCTTTTCAAATGTTCCTCAGTTATACCTATAATAATGTTCTGTGATTTCACAGTTAGGTACTTGTACCAAAGTTTTCCATGGACCCATTTTATTATCCAAATTGCTACCCATTGCTAATAAACTAATCATGCTTGGAATGTTTTTGCTTCAGTTTCTCCTATTTGCAGATTTTAATCACAATCCCAGCAATCCTCTAAGGTGAGTAGGGGAAGCCCAGTTTATAGATGGGGAAATAAAAAGGAGTTTTCCAATTCAAAGCCTGAAAATTGAAAAAAAAAAATAATTCCTGGAAAAACAATAGTGATAAGAATTTCTGCCAATCTTCATGTTTTTTTTTCAGTTTTTTAAACATTTTTATTTAATGTTTTAAATGTCAAATTCTATCCCTCCCTTTTTCCCTCCTAGTCACCCTCCATGAGATGCTTAGCAATCAGATAGAGATTATACATATGTAATTATATAAAACATTTCCATATTAGTCATTTTGTACAAGAAGATAAGAAGGAAAAAGAAAGAAAGAAAGAAAGAAAGAAAGAAAGAAAGAAAGAAAGAAAGAAAGAAAGAAAGAAAGAAAGAAAGAAAGAAAGAAAGAAAGAAAGAGAAAAATAGCAAGCTTCAGTCTATATTCAATCAATATCAGTTCTTTCTCTAGAGGCAGATAGTATCCTTCATTGTTAGTCCTTTGGGATTGTCTTGGATCATTGTATTTCTAAGAGTAGCTAAGTCATTCACAATTCTTCAACATACAATATTGTTCTTACTGTGTTCAATGTTTACCTGATTCTGTTCACTTCACTATGCATCAGTTCATGTGAGAATTTCCAGGTTTTTTCTGAAATCATCCTGCCTGACATTTCTTATAGCACAATAATATTCCATTAAAATCACATACCACAGGTTGTTTAGCCATTCCCCAATTGATGGGCATCCCTTTTATTTCAAATTACTTGACAGCATAGAAGGAGCTGCTATAAATATTTTTGTACAAATAGGTCATTTTCTCTTTTTTTGGATGTCTTTGAGACATAGACCTACAAGTGGCATTGATGGATCAAAAAGTAGGCACTGTTTTATAGCTCCTTGGGTATAGTTTCAAATTGCACTGCAGAATAGCTGGATCAGTTCACAACTCCACCAACAGTGCATTAGTATGCCAGTTTTCCCACATTCTTTCTAACATCCAACATCTATTTTTTGTCATATTAACAACTCTAATATGTGTGAGGTATTACCTGAGTTGTTTTAATTTACATTTCTCTAATCAATAAGGATTTAGAACATTTTTTTCATATGACTATAGATAGATTTGATTTCATTGTCTGAAAACTGCCTGTTAATATCCTTTGGCCATTTATCAACTGGGGAATGATTTTTTTTTTTAGAAATTCCATACATTTACGTAGTGTATCTGAGATACACTTTTAGTGGTTAGAATTGCTAAACTCAACCTAAACACTGTCCACTTGAGGAAACTGCCATGAGTTTTTGCCAGCCAGCACTCTCCATCCTGGGAACATCTATCTCCTTGCCAGGGAACAGGGGTTTCAGCTCAGGTTCTCAGTGCTCAGGTGTGTCTGACTGAATGGGATGGACTTAAGTCTTATCTCTAGGCCTCAGGCTTATCCTTTCAGGTGTGCAGCAAGTGATGGAGGGAGCAATTCACAGAAGGATGGGGGCATGTGGCTCTTGTTGATACCATGGACAAAGGAGCTCATCAGTTTTCCATGAGGCTTGTGACTTCAGTCTGGCTACTAGGAGTGTCAGCCAGCTTTGGGGTAGATGGTTCCTCCAGTTCATAGCTCATTGTCAGAAGTCTCATCAAAATGTGTTTTCTTGGCTTTCTTTTCACTCCTCTTGTGTTCAATGATCTTTTGGAGCCGATGGACAGCATAGTTAGGCTTGGTGGGCAGAGGGCCAGCTGGCACTGTCATACCAAGGACATCAGACATCACATACAGGTGAAGCCAGCCAACCAATGGAGTGCTGCCTTGGCTACAGTGGGTCTGCTTGTGATAGAAAAGGAGCCCATCTACCTCAAAAAGGAAGTTTGTGGATAAGACCTTGCATAGGCTCTCTGGGGTACATAGGAAATTCTTTAGATCCACAAATTCAAATAGATTAAGCCTGATTCTCTCCAAGTCCTTGCTCTTCTGGTAAATTTGATTGCATTCAGTCGAATCTAAAATCAGTCTGGGAGTAATAGACAATATGTCCCCTCTAGCACATAATGTCTAGAACATAGTAGGTCTGGTTCAGTTCACTATAGATACAATCCAGGATTGTGTAGTCTTCCCCTGTGGATGAGGTACACTTATTGACTCCAGGAAGCAGGGAAGGAAACCTGTTGACACAGTATCTGCTCTTGGTGTAAGCCACAGTGGAATCCTTAGAGGCCACAGCAAGGGCTCTTTTCCCCACAGGGCACACCACCACAATCCACTCCTGCCCTAGATCTGAAGGGACATCAATCAGCCACTCAGACAGCATCAACCGATTAGCATAGCACCCTGGCAGCTCCTTGACAGTGTCAATGTCCATCCCTTCCTCTTCCTTGTCACCTTCATTATCCATCCCTGTCCAGTTATCCCCAGCCAATCACCTGGCATGATTCACATAGTCTAGTTGCTTAGATTTCTGAAGCTTCAGGAGTTTCTGGCACCTTTCACTCTTTTCCAAGGGGGTATACTTAGACTTGTACAATGACAGGCAAGGGTGGGGCTACGAAGGGCTATTCAGGTCTTGGGATACTGAAAAACTGCTTGCTAGGACTTGACTCAGCTCCTCTATGTTTCCTGGTGGCAGTGGCCAGGTGACAGCGGGGCTCACTCAGGGGCAGGAGCCCACAGAACAGAGCACCCAGGATAAAGTTCACACTCAACTGCTTCCATCAGTCGACCAGCACTCGTGGGGGGGGGGGGTAGCCACATTCCCTCAGGGCCCCACCCCCATCTTGCTGCCTTCCCAGCATGGTCAGGCCTGGCAGCCACACACCTGTGGGGCTCTCAGGGCCATTGCCTACCCCCTCCCCTCCCATGACTCATATTTTTAAAAATTAAATGCAGTTCTCTATATATTTAGGAAACAACACCTTTAAAAGAGATGTCTGTGAAGGGCAGAGACAATATTGTCTTGGGGGGGGGTTCCTTTAGCAAGCTATTGATTTGCTTTTCATGATTTTCTTGCATTACTATCAATTTTTCCTCTACTTCTCTTACTTGCTTCTCAAACTCTTTTTTGAGCTCTAAACAAATTCTAAAGCAGCAGAACCCACAAAAAGACAGACTGAAATAAATTTCCAGCCCAAGACAACTTGGATGGTTGAATGGAAAGGTATATTGTGCTGGGCTGACAAAGGAACACAGTTTGGCCTCAGTGAACCTGGAGCAGGCCTCAGAGGACTGAATCACAGGCAACTATGGAAGTTTCCAGACTTCTCAACCCAAGAATGCCCAAGACAACTTAGAAAGTCAGTAGGAAAAGTATATGTCTGTGGTGAGAGAGAAGAGCAAGGGTCCTAGCCTCAGTCCCTGAACATAACCCCAGGGTGGCGCTGCCTCCCAAGCTTCCAGCCCACAGACTGAGGAGGAGTCAAGTGGCTGATTACAGGGGGATTGCAGGGATCTTTTTGCTGGTGCAGGATTCTCTTGCTTTCCCTGGGCTTGGATCTGGGTAACAGTTTTGGGTGGTGGTCCTGGGGTGAACAGAAGTGCTAGCATAGTGGAACTTGTAGTGGTGGTAGAGAAGAAATCTTCCTCACAGTTCCAAGGCAGAAAATAGTGCTTATTGTCACTCATAAACCAGAGCACAGACCAGGAAAGGAGTAAATACTTTACCCTTGATCATACCACCTTGGAAGAACTGAAAGTTTTCAGGTCCCTACAATTATCTCTGAAAACAGCTGCACAAAACTCCTAAGCTTGGGACAGTACATTCTCCACACTGGAAGCAGAACCCTATCTTAACAAAGCATTTATAATTCAAGTAATTGGCTGAGATCATGAGCAAGCAGCACAAAAAGAGTCAGACCATAGGATCTTCCTTTGGTGATAAAGAAGATCAAAACATAAAACCGGAAGAAGACAACAAAGTCAAAGCTCTTACATCTAACACCTCCAAGAAAAAAAAAATGAATTGGTCCCAGGCCATGGAAGAGCTCAAAAAGGAGTTTGAGAAGGAAGGAAGAGAAGTACAGGAAAAATTGAGAGTAATTTAAGAAAATTATGAAAAGCAAATCAACAGCTTGCCAAAGGAGCCTCCAAAAAATACTAAAGAAAATAACACCTTAAAAAATAGCCTAACCCAAATGGCAAAAGAGGTCAAAAAAGCCAATGAGTAGAAGAACGCCTCCAAAAGCAAAATTGACCAAATGGAAATGGAAGTCCAAAAGCTTATTGAAGAAAATACTTCCTTAAAAATTAGAATAGAGCAATTGGAAGCTAGTGACTTTATGAGAAATCAAGACATTGTAAACAAAACCAAAAGAATGAAAAAATAGAAAATAATGTGAAAGATCTCATTGGAAAAACAACTGAAATGGGAAATAGATCCAGGAGAGAGAATTTAAAAATTACTGGACTATCTGAAAGTCATGATTAAAAAAGGAGCCCAGATACCATCTTTCAAAAAATTACCAAGTAAATCTGCCCTGATATTTTAGAACCAGAGGACAAAATAGAAATTGAAAGAATCCACCAATCACCTCCTGAAAGAGATCTCCAAAGGAAAACTCCTAGGAATATTGTAGCCAAATTCCAGAGTTCCCAAGTCAGGGAGAAAATATTGCAAGCAGCCAGAAAGAAACAACTCAAGTATTTTGGAAACACAATCAGGATAACACAAGATTTAGCAGCTTTTATATTAAGGGATCACAGGACTTGGAATATAATATTCTGGAGGGCAAAGGAGATAGGATTACAAACAAAATCATCTACCCAGCAAAACTGAGCATAATCCTTCAGGGGAAAAATGGATAGTAAGTGAAATAGAAGACTTTCAAGCATTCTTGATGAAAAGACCAGAGCTGAATAGCAAATTTGACTTTCAGATACAAGACTCAAGAGAAACATGAAGAGGTAGACAGGAAAGAGAAATCATAAAAGACTTATTAAGGTTGAACTGTTTACGTTCTGCC